GCTGCTTTTTATACTGGCTCTCAAAGCTGGGACACGTTAAGGTAATTCCCTTGAAATTGTTCTACTATCAAACTTTTTTTGAAACTTGGTATAATTAACATTCATGATATAAACATTAAAAAAAAATGCAATAAAAAAATGGGGTCACCGTGTTTGTTTACACGTCAGCGGGCTCTTAAAATGAGTATTTTTACTGGTTGTGCGTTAAAAATTCGAATCACCTTCATACAGAATTTAGCCTTGGTAACTTGAAAGACACAAAATTTTATTTTGAAATTAAAGCTTCTTTGATCAAAATAAACAGTATTGCTTCATTTTACCTGTTTCTGATTGTCTGGTTGTGGGGATTTTGCACTTTTTCGGACAGTTCCGTGGTTAGCTTGAAGTCCTCGCCTTAGTCAAAATACACCAAGTGCGGAACTATTTTCCAAAAAAAGTCATGTTCTATTATCAAAATTTTTTTCTTTTTCAAAGATGTTCTTTATTAGACTATTCTTAGCAAATGCCGGGAAAAAAAAATCGAGTGTCACCGTGCTTGTTTCCTCACAAACTTGCTTGAAAGGTGGACATAGTTTTCAGATCGCAGTCAGGATAGAGAATTTGCGCGGTGGAGACTGGGACGAGACACAAAATGGCGCCCATCGTGTTCGAGGGAGTTACTACATCACGGGCGACGAGCGGGGGATGAAGAAATGACCGAAATACGAGTGGTCAGCGGGGAAACAAATATAATACTTCATATAGAGACATATTAGTTGTAGTTGTAGAAAACAATAGTGTTGTAAAGCCGAAATGTTAACAGTATACTTCGCTAAATAAAATGTGAAGCAATTTTTCAAAAGTGTTGATGGCACATATATCTTTTACTGCTGTATTAAACAATGGAGGCATCGGGAAAGGCATCGGTGGCATTCGGAAAGGCACCAAGAAGAATTATATTTACGTTTTTTAAATTGCAGAAAACAGTCGTATTGTAAAGCCAAAATGTTACCAGGTTATACTTCGCTAATTCAAAAGTTAAAAGATTTTCCAAACACTTTGACTGGAACAATATTTTTACTGCTATATTAACCAACGGAGGCATCGGGAAAGGCATCGGTGACACCGGGAAAGGCATCAAGAAGAATGATATTTACGATATGTAACTTGTTGTATGACGGAAAAAAGTATCTTGACTTGTTTAAGGCGTAAATCACAGTCGGTTTGCTTTTCACTTTAATTTTGAAATCTCGACTTTCGATTCCGGAAAAATGAAAAGCTAAGCAACTCTAAAAAAATTTCGTTCTAGATTTCTATATTTTTAGAGTCATTAACAAGTTTGTTTCCACAGCCTTTAGATAAGAAATTTTAAATTTCCATCAGCTCTAGTTCTTTTGTATTTATTATATATATTCAATCGCCTCATTTCACATGAAAAAGGCATGGCACTGAGCTTCGAGAAACAGCCAAGTTAAGGCTAATGTGTTTACCATGCTTAAATATTAATAATCAGGGCCCCTCGTTTGGGAGACCTTTTTCCAGAAGATCCAGGCGTTAAAATAACTCTGTTTTCCGTTCGAAGTGTTTTTTTTCCTATTTTATTTAACAAATGAACTCGGGATGAATTTTCGAAGCGAACGGCAGGTGAAATGTTGTGTTGGTGTCTCTGTCCCCCCCACGTCTCTGTGAAAGGTACATCCAGACAACCTGCAGGGAAAAAATGACCACAGCTATCGCACCAAATTTAAAAAAAAAATCTTTAAAACTAAACTGGTGAGCAGCACTCTACGAACGGTAGTCGTAAAATTTCTTTATTCTCCGACGCTTTTCGTTTAACTGTCGAAGACTTCTTCGGGGAGTTTTACAATTTAACACTAAACGCCTGTATTTATAAGTCATAGTTAGTGGCTATACGGGAGCCAATGACCATAAAGGCTTGGCCGGACCTACGAATAAGAAAAGGTGAAGTTGCGGAAAATTTGAAAATTTTTTGGGGCAAGGTGGGAGAATTCACTTGGGGACCACGGTTTTGGTTTTCTTTTTTCGTCACGCAGTAAGTTACAAAACGCAAATATAATTCTTCTTAGTGCCTTTCCGGATGCCACCTATGCCTTTTCCGATGCCTCTATTGTTTATTACAGCAGTAAAAGATTTATGTGCCATCAACACTTTTGAAAAATTGCGTAACATTTTATAGAGCGAAGTATACTGTTGATATTTCGGCTTTACAACACTATTGTTTT